AACCGCCGAGCTCGAGAGACGAGCGGCGCGGCCGCATCCGGTGGCCCGAGACGAAAGGTGATTGAGCCATTGCCCTGATCTTCTGGTTGGCGAGAGCGCGGCGGCTGCCCGCTGAGCTCGACATCGGCGCGTCGGTTGCTGGAGCGTCGCGACACTCGGGCGCTGCGCCGATGGGCTCCTTTTGCCTCAGGGAGGCCTCGGCGCGCCCCCAGCAGGGCGAGGCGGCGCGCGCGCGGCATGTCGCCAGGGGGGGGGGGGTCACCGCCAACCAAAGCACCCCAACCCAACCCGAAGCAATTTGCCTTCCATTTCCAGTGGGGGGGGGTCGGGGAACGTTGAAAAAACACATGGTATCCGTACCCCCCCCAACCCGAAATTCGGGTCAAATTCGGGTCTTCGGGTTGGGTTGGGGTGGTCTGGTAGGTGGTCAGGGGGGGGCGGGCGTCGCAAAGTTTTCAGACGCACCAGACGGTCGCTTCGGACAGCTGGGACTTGAACCCGCCGCTCCGCGCCCTCGCCCAGGAGCTGCCGCTGCGCGGGGCTTGCCGACGCGCCCGGCAGGCGGGGTCTCGCGCGGAGCTGCGCCAGGCTGGCGCGCCCGCGCTGGCAGAATTAAGGCGCGCGAGCACATTGGCGACGGCATGGTCCGCAGAACTCAGGACAAGCTCGCCACAGAGCACCCGAGGCGCCGCCCGCGAGCTTGGTTCGACGACGCGAGAACTTCGATCCACGGCTTGCCAGCGGCGGCGGAGGCCACGCTTCCAGAGTCCGTGGAGACGCCGAGGGATGCAGCGGGAGAAGAGGGTCTGGAGCTGGCTTGCAACTGTGCGATGCGTCGCCGCGCCGTTCGTTCCGACGCGCGGCCTCGCGTCTTGGGCAGGGCACTGCGGCCGCCGGGGCAAACGCCGCCTCGGGCGCGGTTGGCTCGCCGCGGGGCTTGCCGCTCGGCGGCCTTGGGCGCGAAACGCAGAGTCTGCCGCGCGCTCATTTGCCGCGGCGTCGGCGTCGCCCATGCGGGTGCGTCGACAATGAACGGCGCGGCGAGATGCGCACGTCCGATGCCGGCGAGATTACGAGAACCAAAAAGCAGCTGCAAAAGCTGGGCGTTGAGTTCCCGGCCGCGGGCGACTGTCGAGATCTAGGCGTGGACAGGTCGGCAGGTGGAACCAAGGAGGGGCCTAGTCGCACGGCCAGGAGGCGGAAGGTTCACTTTGCGAATGCGAAAAATTATGGCGGATGCGTTCAATTAGGGGAGCTATGCCTTCGCTCGCATGCGGCGCGCGCGTGGCGCGCCGCCCTCTGCCGCGGCGCAGGCGCGCGGGCGTTGCGCGGAGGCGCCAGCGAAGCCGGAGGCGGGGCGACACGCCGCTGGGGGGGCCCGCGATCGCGGGCGAGGAGGCCCCGCGCTGGAACTCCCGCGCGTGCGTCTCAGGGCGCGGTTAACCTGCGCGCCCGTTGCCCTGCGGGTGGCGTCGTGCGCGCGGCCCTTCATCCACGATCAGCTGCGGCGGGTGCCCTCCCGGCCCGTGACGGGGGCGCCGTCGGATCGTGGCCTCGCTGATGCTGGCGCTGCCGGGGGCGGGCGGGGCTCCCCGCGCCGCTGCGTCGCGGGCGGGTCCGAGGGGCATGGGGTGGGCGTCGGCTGCGGGAGGTGGGCGCCGTGACCCAGCCAGCGTCTTCGACGCAATCCTCGGCGACGCCGAGAATCGCCCGCGGCTTGAGGCCCCCGCGGGCCGCTGGGCCAAGGGCGCCCAGCAGTGCGCGGGCCTGGCCGACACCGCGCTCGCGCCGAAGAACGCGGGAAGCGACAGGAGGGAGGAAGGGAGGGAGGAGGGAGGAGGGAGGAGGGAGGAGGGAGGAGGGAGGAGGGAGGAGGGAGGGAGGGGGGAGGGAGGGGAGGGAGGAGGGAGGAGGGAGGAGGGAGGGAGGGAGGGAGGGAGGGAGGGGAGGGAGTCGAACGCCTTCGCCCAGGCTGCGACGGCAGATGCACGGGCGGCGGCCCCCCTCAGCCCGGGCTTCGGCGCGGAGAGAGCTGGCGACGGGAGGTGCCCGCGCGGAGAGGTCGGCGATGGCCGCCGCCGCGCGCGGGGCGCGCGCGCTTCAAGCAGCCCGGGAGACTTCGAGAGGACGGAACAGTGGCGGCCAGACGCTCGGAGGCGTGTCCTGCGCCGTGGCTCCGGGCTTCCACCGAGGTCCCGGGCTGCGCCGCCGCCGCGATCCACGACGCGGGCGGCGCGCCACTTCGGCGCCCGAAGAAGGGGCATGCATGCCTTATGGCGACGGCCGCAGCAGAGAGCAGGCCTCGCCCGCTGCCGCAGATGCCGATGGTGCTGGCGCGTCCTGAGCCGTTCGCCAGAGCTCCAGCATGTGGGCGGCGTTTCAAGCCCGCTGCCAGGCCACGGCCAGACAAATAACCGAGCCGAGATGTCAAGTCTGCTCTCGGTCCTACGATGCACATCAGGAAGGTCGGGAGATAGGACTGACAGTGAGACCGTGTGTCGCGGGTGGGCCCACGGCTGACTTGTGGTGCCCGTGGCTGGAATGTGAACGGATATATTTGTGATTTTTGGGGGGCAGGAACCCCAGACAGGGGGCCCCGACAGTGCGAGCGTCGGATTTGCGAACGGTCAACTCTCGCATGAGGAGCCTTTAGCAAAGGGGAGGGCCCACGATGGGCTGGCTCGATCGAATAGTGCAGTTTCATCCTCGCTGGGGTTTCCTTGCTTGCCGAAGTGCGGTTTTAAAGTCCTTCCCCGCCGAGTGTTCCAGCATTGGCTGTGCAACCGATCCCCCCAAACCCCAGACCCAGCAAGGTTTTCAAGTTGGCATGGGCTCTCGCAGTGCTCGCTGGACCCATGCCCTCGCGTTTGATAAAGCTTTTTTGGTTGCACGAAATGTGGTGGCTGCGTGGATAGAAAGGGGAAGGCCACACTGGGGACCTGGGTATGGACTGTGGTTGTGAAAACGGTGGGCCCCCCGTGAAATTGGCAGATGGGTCCGCCAGCGTCTCTCTGAAGGGTGGCCTTTCACTCCAACCCCCCGTAGTCAGCACACGCAGTTTTCCCGACATCGCCCGCTTTGGACAATCCGGGGTAACACTTCACCTCTATCCTCCGCCCTGCCTCCTCTGTTCTGCCCTCCCACCCCCTCTTGCCTCCCTCCCCCCCATGATCATGACCTCCCCTCCCCGCCTCCGCCCTCCTTCCCTCGCTCCTTCCTTTCCCGCCACCCCTCCGCGTTCCGAGCGCCCCCTTCTCTGTCCCGCTCGCCTCCTCGCTGGGCCGCCCCTTTCCCCCCCCGCGTCCGGCGCCCCCGCCCCGCGAGGCCAAGATCCACGCCAGCCGGGGCGCCCAAACCTGGGGCATAGGGGCGCCCCTTTTTCTGTCCCGCTCGCCTCCTCGCTGGGTCGCCCCTTTCCCCCCCCCGTCTCGCGCCCCCGCCCCGCGAGGCCAAGATCCACGCCAGCCGGGGCGCCCAAACCTGGGGCACAGGGGCGGGTCAGGAGACAGGAGGGCGGCGGGCAGCGAGGGCGGCGAGGGCGGACAGGGCAGGAGGGGTGGGTCACGCGCGGGGGCGGCGGAGGGGAAGGGGAGGGGGATGAAGGGGGGGAGCGGGGGATGAAGGGGGGGAGTAGGTGGAGGATGGGGACGAGGAGGGGTAGGAGCGGCAGCAGCATCAGGAGGGGGAACAGGAAGGACGATGAGGCTGAGACGGCCGAGGCGGACGATAATTTGGAGTGGGATGAAGAGGGGGAGCGGGGGATTGGGGGGAGTAGGTGGAGGATGGGGACGAGGAGGGGTAGGAGCGGCAGCAGCATCAGGAGGGGGAACAGGAAGGACGACGAGGCTGAGACGGCCGAGGCGGACGGTTATGTGAAGGAGGGTCAGGGTGAGGGAGACGAGGGGCTATGCGAGTATGACCATCTCTCCGTTAATCGCTGACGCCGTCGCCCACGTCGTTGTTGTCCCTTGTATGAAGCATATGGGGTAATCACTCGAACCGCTCACGTGGTCAGCTCACACGCGTTGTCTTGAAAGGTACGATTGGTTTCCGATCTTCTGGCCTGTCGGCCTGTCAGACATCATCCGAGGTGTCGAACGGGTGTTGAAGGATTAATGCCGTGCGAGAGGAAACGACTTGGTTGTTATGATGCTGGCGGTGGTGGTATGGATTGGTGCGGTGATGTAAGTGATGATGATGATGCTTACAATGAACATGGCGATGCTGATGAGGCTGATGCTGATGATGGTGATGATGAAGATGATTTTGATGGTGTTGATGGTGATGACGACGGCGACGAGGATTATTATGATGACGGCGACGTCGATGATGATGATGATAATGATGCTGATGATGGTGATGGTGATGCGGATGTTGTTGGTGACGATGATGACACTGATGATGCTGATGGCGATGCTGATGATGATGATGATGAGGATGATGAGGATGATGATGATAATGGTGGTGGCGGTGGTGGTTGTGGTGGTTGTGGTGGTGATGGATGCTGCTGATGATGATTATGATGGCGACGGTGGGAGAGAGGGTGAAGATGACGACGACGGTGGTGGTGATGTTGAGGGTGGAGATGATGATTAGCACGGTGATGATGGTGATGATGGCCGTGATGGCTGTGATGATGATACTGATGTTGATGATGATGCTGATGCTGATGCTGATGCTGCTGCTGCTGATGATGATGATGATGATGATGCTGATGATGATGATGATGATGATGATGATGATGATGATGATGATGATGATGAGGGCGAGGAAGAGGTTTGATTAATAATGCTACCAGCAGGAGCAAGAGCGGGAGCACGAGCATGAGTAGGAGGCGAGTGCTTCGAGCTGTGCCCAGCCGTGGTGACGAGAGACCCCACAAACGCCCCAGAAGCATCCCAAACGAAGACGACGGCGCAGACGCCGTGGAGTAGCGGCGCGGAAGCACGAGGCACACGAGGACGCGCAGGTCCTCGCCGGCACCGGGCGCCCCCGCCGAGCCGCCCAGGCCGCGGCGCTGGCGTCTCTGCAGGCAGGCGCGGGGTTCGAGGACGGCGAGCAATTGAAGGCGGCTCTGTGCTGCGGCCGCGGTCGTCTGTGGCTGCGACGCCGTCGTGCGCGGTGCGACGATGCCGGCGGCAAAGGCGGCGACGTCGTTGACCAGGACGACGCCGACGCCGACGCCGACGACGACGACGACGACAACGACGACGACGACGAGTCCGACGAGTACGACGACGGCGGCGGCGCAACGACGACGCTGGCGGCTTCGTCGACGAGGACGGCGATGACGTCGACGACGACGAAGACGAAGCTTCGAAACGCCTCGCCTCCTCCCCGCCTTTGCCTCCTCCGCCTCTTTCTTGACTCGTTGACCGCGTGCGGAGCATCGCGCTGGGGTCGACGAAGGAAAGCCGACGCTCGCGCCTGGAGGAACCCTCAGGAGGCGGAAACAAAAACACACAGAATTAATCGCCGACTCCCAGGAAAAGGTGGGACATTATCCTGGCGAAGAACCCAGCCATATGCAGTTGTGAGTACCATCGTTGCGGGTATCGCCTTCGGGGGATCTCCTCACGGGGCCATGAAGCATGCGAAGGGTGTGCCGATGTGGGGCGGGGCCACCATGTAGGTGTTGCCACTGGTGCTTTAGGCGGAGGAGGAGGAGGAGGAGGAGGAGGAGGAGGAGGAGGAGGAGGAGAGGCGTCGCTGCTCAGGAGATGGCACAGCTGCCGTGAGTTTGGCGACCCAGGCGTGTCTGTCGGGGGTTGGAGACCCTCTGTGAGGCCGCAAATACGGTTTTTTCGCCTCCGCGTACGCGAACCTGCCTTCCACAAAAGTGAGCGTAAGAAGAGAACCTGGGCCAGCATCTTGGTCCACATTGCAGCAGCACGAAGCCGTTTGCTCTCACATCACAGCGCACAACGGGTGTCCGCCTCAACTATGTCGGGAGGTGCAAGCAAGTGGACATGTGGCAGCTGTGGCAAGCACGTGCAGCCCTTGCATTGGCGGTGTCGTTTTTGATCTGCCTGGGCCAGTCGTCGCACTTGTTGCAGCAGCCGCAGGCGCCCTTCAGATCGAGCCGTGAATGAGAACGATGTCAAAGCTGCCTCTCTCGCTCAGAAGGTTGCTCCAGCACTCTCGTTCGAGGCCACTGCTCATCAGGATTGGCACAAGTGGGAACCTCCAGCCATCGAGGAGCAGCTGCCTCAACATCGCAAGTCGGCCAGAGAGCGCACCAATACCTTTGCGAAGCTAGCTGTCGCCAGTGTTCAAGCTGCCAAGTCCGACGAAGCAGAGCGTGCAGAGATTGCCCTGACCATCTATGCCCTTAGCACGCTGAAGCCCCTCGGACACCAGCTTGCAGATGCTCGCACTCGGTCCATGGAGTACGGGAATCAGCTCAAAGATGCGAGGCTCAATTCGGCAGCTGGAGGAGACGGCCGACGAACTCAATGACAAGATAGCGGACCATCGAGATATGATTCAGAACCTGGGGCAAGACAACAGGACGCGTCCGCCAAGGTGGTTGCAGAACGGGGCCAGAGAACGGCGGCAATACCCGCGGCACCAGTGGCTCCTCCCTCTGCGCCGCCACATATCTCACCACCCCCGCCAGCAGCCTCGGCGGCGCCAAGGAGATTGGTACCACCAGATGCAGTTGTGGTGTCGAATGCCGAGACGCCGCAGCCCCTTGCCCAGAATGTGAGCAGAACGTACTCGCCAGAACAGCAGCCACCTTGGCCACCACCATGCGGCTCTTGTCCTCGAGGCAGGATCAGACGGAGGCGTTGATGTCCAACGCGGTCCATGGCAGGGGCGTTGCTGCAGCATGCCGGGCCGCCATGCAGGGGAAGGGGAAACGTGTGCAAGCCCCCTCTTCTGAAATGAGTACGTCCAGTGCACGAACGTCGATGCTAAAGGGATTATATGCTGCTCCTACCATGGGGTTTACTGCGCAGCCGCTTGTGGCGGCGACCTCGGGCCTGTATATGCTGGCCAACGGCTTCAAAGGGCGCGGAACGGCCTGCGGTGGCGGCGTGGATTCCGCTCCCTGCAGAGCAAAGCCAGGCCACTACCATCGCATGCCAGCTGCACAAGATGACGATGCCCACGCCTGTAGGGCAACGAGGCTTCGGGCCAGCAGTGGATCCGCCAGCGATGCAGGCGCAGCTGGGACCTCCTCGAAGGCCGAGACGATCCTGAACACCTTGACGGATCCCTCCCCGGCACAGATTTGGGGGCCCAGGAGGCATCGCCCCCGGGGAACCCGCGGCCACTTGGCGTGCAGCGGATGCGAAGGCGGTGAGTTCAGCAGCGACCAGTGCTGGAGCATCTAACTGCAAGAACATGGTGGCTCCGCACATGCCTTCATAGATCAGTCCTCCTCTGACGCCCAGTACACCTTTGCTGGCCAAGGAGCTTCTACCAGGCCCAGTACGCAGCCGGACCGAAAGCGCAGTGGCGGAGATGGTTCCTACAGTGGCGGCGGAGGCGGTGCTTGTTTCGCCCGACAGGGCGAAGCCTGCAGAGAAGCATGGGATGACATATGCTACAGGCCTATCGCCGCCTCACTAGTCAGCGGCTCTGCCGCACGTGCTGCAAGAGGAGGCAGACTGTGAGGCGCGTTAGATTCGGCGCGACGAAGGTTACTGCATTTGCTTTTGGTGACCGCACTCATTCCAGGGAAGGGACAGCCTCCCCTAATAGCAGTATGAAATTAGTTTCGATTGCTGCGGAAGAGCATGGGCCAGCTACGCATAAGACGCAGCGCGCGCGCCCCCGTCGCATCCACGCCGGTGGCGCCAATGTCTCATTCCAGCTGGGCAAGGGGCCAAGGCACAGCTGTTCGAGCTGCGGTTCGTCACGTCGCTCGGTTAACCCATTGGATCATTCGCGCTATTTGCAGATAATCCCTACTCTCCACGCTCTTGTCAAACATCCCCGCGATCGTGGTAACCTCGCGGCGGATACTTGTCAGGTCGCATGGTCCTATGATGGGCCCTCGCGCAGACATTTCGCGCGTGTGCTGTTCCATGTTGTCACCAGATCCGACGCACAGGGGGTGGCAGAGCATGTCTCGACGGGACCAGCGTAGTTGCGCGCATGCAGGCTACGTTTCTTCTGTGCGCAGGGGGGCCCTGGAGGAGGGCTTCCAGTGCTGCGGGGACAGTCGCCTGCGCGACATGTCGGAGGCAAGGATTTCTCATGTTGCCAGACAGCGAATGTTGAACCAGACTGGGCCTGTGATAGACAGGTTGTTCAAATGGGCCTGGTCGCGGGCAGATTGGCCGCAGGTCAATGGTCTGCAACCTCCGGGGCCTTTCATCTCGCCCAACGCAAGTATTCCTCCTGCGGCTTTCTCGGCGCCGCCTCCGCACCTGCGTGGACCGCGACGGCCGCCCCCTCCGCCTCCGGGGCAGTGTCTGTTCGTGCCCGTCGCTAGGCAATCCGACCCCTGCCCGCGCCGATTGGCGCGATAGCATTCTCACTTTGGTGCGCGACTCGCATCTTTCGATTGCTGTTGGTGCTTCCCCTGCTCATGCCTGCCCCCATCGGTGGAGCGACGGAGGGAGGCTCGCCTGTGTTTTAATTCTCGTTTGCTGGACTGCCCCACCTTTTACCTCGCCACCTGTCTTCTATGTGGCCTTCGCCTTTCATGCCCTTAGGAACCGACCGACCGACCGACCGAGGAGGAGGAGGAGGAGGAGGAGGAAGTACAGGAGGAGGAACAGGAGGAGGATGAGGAAAAACAGGAGGAAGGCAGTGGACACTCGACGAATATTGCCTTCATCCGCGTGGCGGTCGGGAGGGGGCGGAAGGGGCAAGAGGAGGGGAATACACATGTCTCATCGATCCCGGCCCCCGAAGCCGCACGAGATCTATCGAGAAGCTCCTGTTCCCGAAAAACCTTCGAGAAGCTTCCAAACACCGCAGACAGAAAGCATCAGAAGGCCAGTCGGATTCCCCCGAGCGCCCGCAGACTTCCGCAGATTCCCCTGAGCCCCCCCTCCCACCCACCTACGGCTCTCGCGCTCATGCGCCTGAGCGCGTGGTGGCGCGCGCGGGAAAGAGGAGGAGGATGGATGGATGGAGGGAGGTAATCAGGGAGATAGGGAGGGAAGGAGGGAGGGAGGGAAGGCGTGAGGGAGGGAGATAGGTCGGAGGAGGAGAAAAGGTGAGGGAGGAGGGAGGGGTATGAGAGAGGAAGGAGGGAGGTGGAGGGCGACCTAGATGAATTCAAGTAGTTGAAGCAGGTTTCTGACAGCATGCACCAAGCATTCGCATAATTGCCCTGGACCCGAAATACTTCGGCCTCCCCTGCCCTCCCGCGCCTTCACTTTGCAGTGTCGGATGGTTCGGGCTGGGTGTGCTGGGTGTACCGTCGACGACAAGCCAAGCGACTCGCAAATGACAGGTGGTCTTCTCATCCATTGTTAATGTGTGAGTTGAACCTGCGTGCTACAACACCCACCCTTTCACATTCTCTCTGGGTGATTCTGGTTGAGAGGACCAGGACCAGCATGTGGGTATCATGATGTTGGCAATGCTAGTACATGGCGTACAGTCAGGAACTTTGGATTTGCATGTCGCACCGCCGGTTTTGGCCAACCACGCTTTGGAGCGATACGTTATCCACGTGCCAGTCCCCGAGCGTCAATGCCCCCAGCCTTTCCCAGCTTCCCGCCCCGCTGAGCGGAGCGACGCGCTATCCTCTCGCAGGGAAAAGCGTGTCGCCTGGGCTGCCGCCGCGATACGCTATGCCAGCGCTCCTGACTGATAGGTGACGTGGGGCCCTGGGTGACAAGTGTGCGCACGCGCGGGCGCGATGCGCGAGGTTGGGTGACCTAGGCCCCCCAAAACATTCTCTCACCCCCAAGCGTTCTATGTTACCTGGAAGCTGGGCACGCGTGATGCGGCTGGCCTGAGCGAAGGCACGATGCAGGCGTGGCCAGACGACCTTCCAGCGCTCGGCCCTTCTGTGGCCGTGTACGCTGTCCCTCTGCGTGGGCCTCCAGCGCGTGGTCTCCAGATGTTCCACCTGCTGCACGTGAGTCTAGCCATGTGCGGTTCTAGCTTCCTGGCGTCCCTGGCCTTGAAGGGCGCAGGGGCGTCCACGTGAGGCCCGGCACTCATTGTGTGGGCTCTTTCGTTCAGGTAGGGCCGATGGTCGACCCGGGCGAGCGTTTTGCGCGTTTGAGGGCGGGGGGAGGACGAGGCCCAGGAGGAAACCATTGGAGCAGTAGGAGGAAGAGGCACAACAGCAAAGGGGCGAGGACCCTCCCTCCTCGTCCCTACTCCCTCTTCACCCTCGACCTCGCCTCTCCACCATCACAGGTGCTCTGCGAGCGCGTGGAGGAGCGGGACGTGGAGCCGTCGGACGCGCCAGCGGACTCGGGCGGGACCGAGGAGGGGCCGAAGCGCGGGGACAAGAGGTGCCCGCAGGCGCTGCATGGGCGTCGTTTTCGTCATCGCTCCGGGAAGCAGGCATGGCATCGGGGGTGTTTTGCAGGAGCCCAAATACGCCCGACAACGCCAAAATGAGGCCCCAGGGCAGCCCAGGAACGCCGCAATAGGACCCAAAGATAGCCCTGGTGACCTTTCAGGGGGGCCGTGGACGGCCCGAGAGAGCCTCAAGACGGCCCCAGAGAGTGCCAAGATGGCCCAAGAGAGGGCGGAACCCCTTCCGGGTTCCACCAACCACGTAGGACCCACCATGGGAAAGTGCCAAACTAATGTGGAAGTAATCTTTATCGTCGCCCTTGTGACTACGGAGGCTTTCTTCCTGTCTGGCATCTGCTGGTCCTGCCGACGCTTACGGATTTGCTGGAGGATGATCCCTTCGGATTACAAAAGGACGCTCCACAGAGGAACGAGGCTCCCGCTCGAGACATCTTCAAGATTCAGGCTCACATGTGTCACCACGCGAGTACTTCTGCAGGGTGTCCCGATGGCCGCCTCGGATTAGCAGCTTGAAGCGGGGGCCCCACGGGGAGGGGGTCCCGCTCGAGCTTTCCTCGCAATGCAGCTGCAAGCGAGCGCCCGAGACATCGCTTCAATTTGCTCGCGAGAACTACAGGGGGTTCAGGCTCCCAGGTGTCAGCAGTTCTGTCTTTTTTTGTGCACAGGGTGTCCCAATGGCCGCCTCGGATGACCAGCACGGGGTGGGGACACGATGGGGAGGGGCTCCCGCTCAAGACGCCCTCGCGATTCATGCACATGCGAGTGAGCGCCCGAGACGGCCTCCTTATTTGTTCCGGAACGAGACCCCCGCTCGTTTCTACGATCTATCAGCCCTCAAAGAATCAAGAAGCGCACGATGCATCAATTCTCTTGGCAGCGCCAGCCCGGGCGGAAAAATCGGAACCGCTCATGGCTGCCAGACACTGCAGCATCCTTGGCAAGACGTTGAAGCGAACGTTGGAATGCTTTGGCAGACCTGGCACGCACAACCCTTTCAGGCAACCGGTAAAGTATCGGAATCAAATCATACATTGACTGATGGAGCATTCGATGATGGCTTGCCTGGAGAGGTTCGTGCAACGCCTTGATGTGCAAAAGCGAATCCAATGAGAAACCGATCCTTGCAAGTTGGCCTCCGAACGGCCCAAATAGAGAAGCCAACGATGCCGGTGTTTTCCCATGAGCAACCTTGTAAAGAAGACCAAGCATAGCAATGTCGCTCCGCATTCCCAGTGGGCCCATGTTGTGTTCAAGTATTGTTTCCTTGGGAGTCAGGCCCACGCCTTCAACAAGTTTGGAAAAGTTGGATGTCAAGCGTATTCGGCTGTTGTTCGTGGGTTTGGACTTGGCGCTGCGGTTAAACAACGGGAGTAACCAATGCATTTTCCCACTGACGGCCACATTCCAAATGACAAGACAAACCAGGTCAACATCCCCAGAGGAACGGACAACGGAAGCCAACATCGCTTCAATATTTTTGCCAGCGCGCCATCAGAGCCGGTGCAGCAGTGTTCCCGGCGCCCTTAAAGAGCAGCTTTAACCCAGCGTGCGCGTACATGCAGAAAACCAGACACTCTCTGACCCTCAGGGCCCTGAATCGCAGAATACTCGTTTCGAGCGGGCTCTGGCAGACCGTATTTCGCAGAAAAACTCATGCGAAATAGATCGGCCTTGCCGGACGCTGTGGTAGCCCACTCGCCGTCGGGACCAAGGAGAGGAGGTACGGAAAAGGCCTGGCCAGCTCGTAGCACCAACGAGTTGCACAAAGTCCACCACCTCTTGGACGAAGAACTCAGAGACGACATCCTGTGCCTCAGCCAGCGTACGTACTTAGAGTGCTCTTCCCACAGCCCTTGCGAGCACGTTTTAGCAGCATGGTCAAAATCTTGAGTACCTGATGCGCGAACATTCGCTTCGATGAGTTGTTGGCTCCTTTCGTTCGGCCATGGATGGGAGTAGTTACGACACGTTCTCTGTGATGTAGGAATGTACTTTCTGGCTCGCTCAAGAATCGTATGCGTGAACTTGTTGGCAGCCTCACCGGGACCACATCCAACAAACAAGTCGCTCCAAGAGATGCCGTCAAAAGATTCGCAAAGATCATTCCAATCCGCTTGTCTGCGATCCCAGCAATATCTTCCAATAAGAACCGAATGCTGTACGGCAAGATCCACCTACCCCTTGTGGTCGACGATCTGGGGAAGCACTTTGCATTTGACCCCGGCGTTGATGTCTGTCAAGGCCAAGTCAAGCAACTATTCTCCACGAGTCGGCTGCCCGACCCTCTCCACCAGGCCCATTCGCGAGCATGCCATTTGCCAGGCACGGCCTTCTTTGGACTTGCTGTGCTAATGTTTCAATCAAGAAACTGAATGCACATTCGTGTCGCCCACGACTAGAGTTCCAAGTGCAAGATGCCACTGCTGCTCCCATTCCCGCTCGAATTCTAAAATAGATTCCACCTCTCTGGGGCAAGGTGACCGGTACCAGACACAGAATAATAGAGAAATGTGGTGGGTGCGAATGATGTGCCAGAACCGCTCGTACTCACGCAAATCACCCACGTGAACAACCTTCAGACGTGAACAACCTTCAGGGCAAAACTCAACTGGAGAACATGGCAATACCTCCGCACATCCTCCCATCACGACGATAGAGACGGGAAATCCGGCGTGAACGTTCCAAGTCAATTTCAGAAACCGATTTGTCCAGGAAAGTCTCGGTCACAGCTACAATATTTGGCAGATCTGCCAACGCAAGCTTGTGGTGAAGCTCAGCCGCGTGGCAAAAAAAACCGCCGAGGCTCACGTTGAAAATGAAGACCTGCAGATCGCAGTCCGACGGCGCAGGCCTGGATTTTCGCGGACCGCCGTCGGGGGGGCGACAATTCAAGGAGTTGAGACGCGTCTTGGCTCGCCTACATGCCTACCAAACAATGTTCAAATCACCTTTCGTGGTTTCCACGAAATATCAACATTTCTTGGTGGGACTGTCCTGTTTTAACACATCTGACTTCTGTTCTAAGAACATTGTTTTCGTTCTTAGAACATGCTTGGGTTCTACGAACATGTCGTGGTAGGCCTTTTAGGAATGCTGGGACGGTCGGTCCCTGCTCAGACAATGCCCCGAATTAGATTTCCCCTTCTGGAGTCGATATGCACAAGCTTGCGCAGAGCGTGGACCACGACGCAGAAGACGACGATAGGGCACTGTGTGCTGGGACTGCTCATCTGCCTCAGGGAGGCGGGTGTGCCAGTGATACTTGAAATCGGTTCGGTAAGGGTTTGGGCCGGGTATTGATGAGCTGCCCTGGGAAGACTCTACTCGATGACAGGGTGCCTAAAATCAGCCTCGAAAGTTCCTGTTGGGTCGTCCTTGCCCTGACGGAAAGCCACAACGTCGTTGACAACCACGTGCCTCTCTTTGGAACCCTCCACCTTCCACAGAACCTTCACCTCCATCCCGGTGGACTGGGGGCTCTTTGGTGAGCGAGTCTGCCTATCGAATTGCCCAAGTAAGTTGCTTCTGCATTTTCGCGCGGGCCAGTTTGACAATGATTTGCTTGCCACAGTGCTCACTTGACGCCAGAAGACGCTACCACGCCAAGACAGGACTTCGCGACGTCGTTGCTGCAGGACTCAGCCCACGAAGCTCGAGACAACTGCCTGCAGGAGTGTGGTCCAGAGTATTCGTGGCCGAACCCTGTAGGACGAGCATTCGGAAAATGAAAACGGCTGAACTGCTCCATCACTTGGGCCATGGTATCCTCAGTAACGTCGTCTTGCCAGCCGACAAAAGCGATGCGACGAAGAGCGGGATCAAAACGATTGACGGCGCTTTGAAGATCAGCGATGACCTTATCAGACGCTGCTGTTGCTGGTTCTGTTGCTGCTGGTGCCTGCTATAAGTTCGAAGCGCGCTCCTTCAGATCGTACATGTCAGACTTCCGAAGGTCAACGGCCTCAGCCACCGAGAGGTTGATCTCATCCTGCAGGCCCGTCTTCAAATTGTCAACGTCTGATTTTCAGGCCAGCTTGTCAGTTCTCTCAGAAAGAGCGTGACACGCATCACTCATATCCATGTTAGGGGACTGCGAGGCGGCAGCATTGGAGCCGATCCTGACATCCTCAGGCTCACATGTGCCACCAATCCTGTGTTTTTACACTGTATCCTGATGGCCGCCTCGGATTACCTCTCTGAGATGGGGGGCCCATGGGGAGAGGCTTCCCGCTCGGGACTTCATGGCGATTTGCTCACAGCCGAGTCTGCCGCTCGCGGCATCCTTAATATTCCACGGTGAGTGTGCGAGTGTGTGCGACGGTGATGATTATGATGTTGATATAAGTGGTGATGATGGTGATGATGGTGATGATGATGATGTTGTTGGTGTTGATGCTGCTGATGATTTGATATCGGTGTTGATGGTGATGGTGGTGGTGATGTTGTTGTTGAAGAAGAAGAATAACATGATTGATACGTAGCCTGCCGCAGTCGCAAATAGGAGTGAGGGGGCGGCTGAGACGTCGACAGTGTGCGAGGCTTCCAAAAAGCCCGCCGCAGGCGCCTATTCTTTACACATTATACAACGTGCCCGCCGCTGGCGCCGATTGTTTCTGAAAGCGATCTGGGTGGGTCGCGGGTGGGTCGCGGGTGGGTTGCGGGTGGGTCGCGGGTGGATCGCGGATTTGGTCGCGGGTGGGTCGCGGGTGGGTCGCGGGTGGGTCGCGGTTGGGTCGCAGGTGGGTCGCGGGCGGGTCGATGGGTGGGTCGAGGGTGGGTCGCGGGTGGGTCGCGGTGTGGGTCGCGGGTGGGTCGCGGGTAAGTCGTTGGTGGGTCGCGGGTGGGCCTCGGGTAGGTCACGGCCCAGTAACAACAACAATTACCAACAACAACAGCAATCATTGTAAGTTTGTTCGTTCTTATCTGCTCGAGTGTCATTTAACGCGTATGTCCCAAACCCTCGATACCCGCCCAATTCGTCTTCGATCGTGCCCCTTTTGGGGGGTATATCTTTCTTCCCTGCAGGCCTGGCTCCGGCAAGCGGCGGGGCGGCCGCGGACCGTCGGCATGGCCGGCAGCGTTGATCGGCAGCAACCCGGCCCCAAGAGGGACGGGCAGGGGACAGACCACGACGACGACGGCGATGACGGCGACGACAACGAGCCAAAGCGAGAGCGATAGCGAGAGTGAGAGCGACAGCGGGGCCACGAAGGGCATGCGTATGGGGCCACGAAGGGCGCGAACGAGCAGAGGCCACGAAGGGCAGATAATGCGGGGCTACAGAGGGCAACGACGGGGCCACAGAGGGTAGCAACGGGGCCACGACGGACTGCGAGGGGCCACCAGGGGCGACAGCGGGGCGTCGAAGTGCATGCATATGAGGCCACGACGGGCGCGAACGAGCGGGCGCCGCGAAGGGCATGCGTAGATTGGGCTGAGGGCAGCGACGGGGTCACGAAGGGCAGCGAGGGGGCCACGAAGGGCGACAGCGGGCATGCGTACGGGGCCACGAAAGGCGCGAACGAGCAGGGGCCACGAAGGGCACACATGTGTCCACGAAGGGCAGCGAGGGGGCCACAAAGGGCAACAACGGGGCCACGTAGGGCAGGGAATGGGCTGCGAAGGGCTGCAACGGGGCCACCAAGCGCAGCGAGGGGGCCACGAAGGGCTGCGACGGGACCACGAAGGGCAGCGAGGTGGCCACGAAGGGCTGCAACTGGGCCACGAAGGGCAGCAAGGTGGCCACGAAGGGCTGCAATGGGGCCACGAAGGGCAGCGAGGGGGCCACGACGGGCTGCACCGGGGCCGCGAAGGGCAGCGACAGGGCCACGAAAGGCTGCAACTTGGCCACGAAGGGCAGCGAGGGGGCCACGAAAGGCTGCAACGGGGCCAAGAAGGGCATGGAAAGGGCCACGAAGGGCTGCAACGGGTCTACGAAGGACAGCGGGGGGGCCACGACGGGCTGCAACGGGGCCACAAAGGGCAGCGAGATCCCAATTCCTAAGTAAGCTGTGAGGGGGTCATAGGCGTGAACGCGACTTCTGGGTGCCTGAGTGTTGGGAGCGCGGCGTTTGAGTAAATTGCTGGGAACTCCAACGCAGGCGCGATTCTTGAGTAAATTGCAAGCGCGTGTCCACGAGTCCAGAGCTCCGAGAAAGCGATTCCTGAAGCAATTTGAAGGAAGTCCCAGGCGATAGCGCGGTTCCTGGGTAAAATGGGAGGACGTCTGAGGCGGGAGCGTAGAGCCGGGCGAAAGTGCGAGGAACTCTAAGGCGGGAGCCGCTGTTGTTGCTGTGATGTTGTTGTTGTTGTTGTTGTTGTTGTTGTTGTTGTTGTTGTTATTGTTATTGTTGTTGTTGTTGTTGAATCCGCAATTCTGAAGAATAATTATTGTTGATCCCCCCCGTCCTGTGCACATTGTTTTGTTCGATTGAAGTGCCCTTCGCGGGGCTTGCACCTTGTTTTTCTACCAAGGAAAGTCTTGAGGGCCAAACTGCGTTGTTGCCCCCCGGTTTACAACAACGTCTCCCGCCTGATACTCCTTCACAATTTATTGAAGAATCGCGTTCTCGCTTAGGACTTCCTTGCAATTTATTGGGTCGCGGCTCCGGCTTGACACTTCCTTACAATGTATTGAAGAATCGCGCTTTCGTTTGGGATGTACTCGCAACCTACCACCGAATCGCGGCTCCCGCGTGATATTTCCTCACAATGCATTCAGATGCTGCTCCTCGACATTCAGGAATCGCGCTCCCGCTACATATTGCCTGGCGGTTCAAGCAGAATTTACGCCTCTCGTCTTCATTCTCCCACGTTCTCTGTTACCTTTCTTATTCAACGGTTTCACCAACCACACGTGGCAGGGAATGAATCTACCCCGTCCAAAAGGGGGTACGATCGAAGACGAAGAGGGCGGATATCCAGGGTTTGGGTTATGCATATTGATTGACACGCGAGCAGATAAGAGCGAACAGTCTTAAAATGATTGTTGTTGCTGTTATCCGAATCCGGCAACGCAGTTTGAGCCGAGTGATGTTCCCTGATGAAATAATGGGTGCGAGCCCCGGGGGAAGCACGTCAATGGAAAAAAACACGACTGTCACCCGAGAGGGGGACCCAACAATAATCATTATTCAGTCGTGAGGGCTCAACAGCAACAGTCCGCACCGCAGAACTTCAGTGCAGCCACGCGCCCAGGAACAGGGAATGACCGCTCGCCCCCCCCACCCTGAGTAATAATGATGATATGGTGATGATGGCGATGATGATGACGAGGCTGATGAGGATGAACTGTGTGCGTGTGGGTGGGTGTGTTCTTGCGCGGGGGTGCCCAGGCAAAACAAGAGCCCACTTAGGATGTGAGGGAATTGTTTGTTTTTCGTGTTGCAGGTGCATGTTTCGGTACCGTTCCTCGCTACCTTCCGCCCCTAGGCGTGAGAGTAAGGCACAGGTTGGGAGCCCAAGGACAAGGCCGTCTCTGCCGGGGCCCCCCTCCGTCGGATTGTTTGTGAAACAGGCCAGGTGGCACTGGGGACCCCCAGCCTGAGTCCATGGATTGGGTTTGAATATATTTATATACGTGTTCTGTGTTCTGTGCCGCTGTGCTTCGCAGGATGGTAGAAACGTGTGCGAAGGGCTCTGTTTCACAGTGTACTGTTTTACATTGGTCGGTTTTGAAGTGATGTGTGCCGCTGCTAGCTTCTGTTTTGTTCTTGACGATGGTTTCGCTGAGTCATATGATCGGTCCTTCGGGTTCACATGGCGACGTTCTGCTCTTCGCAACCGTGGCAGTATTACGTTTCTTGCGTTGCTTTGAGGCTCCTTCTTCTGATTAGTTACATGTTGAGCCCACTTGTCGGTTCGTGCACGCGTGCAGTGACGAGCTTGTTAAGTGATGCGGGCGTTCCGGATCTTAAGCTTGCTCGAAGCGCGCGTGATTGTGGTGGAAAGTAGATTTGAGTGCGAAGGTTGCGTAGGCGAGGGATCAACCCCTGCCCCGCTCGGTGGGAGGATAATGTAATTCCTTTAGGCATATTGGGTACATATGTTTGGTGCTACAGTCAACCCGCATAGAAAGGACGGGCAACTTTCCCAAGGGTACCCTTGCATCATTGCCTCCTCGGTGCATCCTTGGCCACTCCCGTTGGCTGCGCCCCGCTCGAAAGGCTTCGAAATGGACTTCAAGGGCCTTGCATCCTTATCGTGCATCCTTACTACACGGGTTGACTGTATCTTTGAGGCCCGCACGTGTGGCGCTTGCGAGGTGCCCATCGAGGCCCAGAGAATTCGCAACGACGAAGGGGCACCACGCAAGTTGCAGCACGCAGCCGGATCCGGCGCAAAGCCGGGCGCTTACCTCGAATCGTGGGCGCTTCCGGCGGCGGGGGGCGCCAGGAGAACCAGCCATGTGAGCTGATTTGTTATCCCCCCCTTCACGGCCCCTGCATGTCGTCCAACCCGATGCACCTGTCTTGGTCAGCTTCTTCAGGTCGCCGGGATGAGCAAGACCCTGCGTTTCGGTGCAGCCCTCACAAGTTTCAGTTCATTTAGTGGCTCCTCCTCTTTGCCTCCTCGTTAAGTTTTCCTCCTTCTCCTCCTCCTCCTCCTCATCATCATCATGATCATCATCATCATCATCATCATCATCATCATCATCATCATCATCATCATCATCATCATCATCATCATCATCATCATAATCATCCTTCCCTCCTCGGGGGCAAGGCGCCCCGCAGCCAATACAACCGCAAGTCCTTCTTCCCTTCCCCCTCCTCTCTCCCTCCTCATCCTCCTCTTCCTCCTCAACTCCCCCTCTCTCCCCTCCCCCCCGAGCAAAACGGCGCGCGATGCCAGAGTGGGGCAGCCTCGCCGATCAACACACCCCAGCCAGGTTGACGCTGCATGGCCTGCCCGCGGCGAGGAGGCCGTGAGGCCGGGGGGGGGGCAGGATGGGGGAGGAGATGGAGGAGTAGGGGAGGAGGAGGAGGAGGAGGAGGAGGAGGAGGAGGAGGAGGAGGAGGACGACGATGAGGAGTTGGAGGAGGAGGTGGAGGAGGAGGAGATGGAGGAGGAGATGGAGGAGGAGGAGGAGAGGAGGAGGAGGAGGAGGAGGAGGAGGAGGGGGAGGAGGAGCAGGAGGAGGAGGAGGAGAAGGAGGAGGAGGAGAAGGAGGAGGAGGAGGAGGAGGAGAGGAGGAGATGGAGGAGATGGAGGAGGAGGAGAAGATGGAGGTGGAGGAGGAGGAGGAGGAGGAGAAGATTTGTGCTGGTGGGACCAGGGGGTGCAGTGTGACCAGCAGCCAGCGGCCTCGCGCCAAGGGGCGCGATCAGAGGCCGACGGGCACCTCCCAGGCGGGGGGGAGGGAGCCAGAAAGGGGACGAATGTCGCCGTCGGGAAAAACACATCACCGAATTGAAAACGGAAGCTGTTTCTGGACCAAACCTCCGCCGCAGGCCACAAGGAGCAGGTGGAGGAGGAGGAAGAGGAGGAGGAGAGGAGGAGGAGATGATGGAGGAGGCCTCATCCTCAGACACGCGTAGGGCCTCCGGGACCTTGCATTCGTGGTCGAGGGCGAACGGGCCGAGTGGGGGTAGGTCGCATGCCGCTTACCGTGCCCAGAAGCTCGGTCCCGCTGCGAGGGTGACGGCCACGCCACAGCTTATGATGGGCATGTTTTCCACCACCACCACCATAAGTTGGAAGGGGAGCGGGTCCTCCTCCTCCTCCTCCTCCTCCTCCTCCTCCTCCTCCTCCTCCTCCTCCTCCTCCTCCTCCTCTCCTCCTCCCCCTCTTCCTTCCCCTCCTTAGCTTATGGTGGTTGTAGTGGAAAACAGGCCCATCAGCTCACGCAGGCGGTCCCAGGCCGCAGACCCACGCGGGGCAGCTTCCGTGGGAGTCTTGACCGAGCTTCTGGGTGTTGTGTTCGCTGCAGGCATTGCACACACTTCGGGCGAAGAGAACTATGCACATGCACCGATCCTGGCAAGGCCCATCCTTGACCCAGGATCGGTGCATATGCCTCCCTGGCCAAGGTAGGAGGGCGTATGCACCGATCCTGGGCTCAGGATGGGCCTGGCCAGAATCGGTGCATGTGCATAGTTCTTTTTCTTGTATACAGAGCACAAGGGGTCCGACCGTCAAGACGCGGTGCCCAGTGCCTGGCTTGCACCCTTGCCGGTGCTTCAAGATCTGGACGGAACCTCCTCCTCATGTTCCTCCTCCTCCTCCCCCTCCCTCCTCCTCCTCCTCCTGCTCCTCCTCCCCCTCCTCCTCCTCCTCCTCCTCCTCCTCCTCCTCCTCCTCCGCAGGAAACCAAGCAGGGTCGTGGGCGCCCTCGGGAGGTGCGGCATCATCGTAGGACCGGGGGACGATCCGCCGCCCCCTCCGAAGCCCCACCTCGCGGCGGGCGGCCGACGACAAGCTGGGCCCCGCACCTCGAGTCATCCTGGCCAGGAGCTTGCCTACATACTGGACCAGCTGGTAAGACCGCGCCACTCGCTCCTGAGCGGCCGCGTCGACAGGATGCAGCTGGGCGCCGCTGCGGGCCGACTCGTCGGCAGCTCTGTCGCCGAGGCGGCGCGACCTGGCGCTCTCGTCGCGGTCATCATCGCGCACACGTGTATGACCTCTCACTTGGGTCACGGTCACCTCACCCCCCAGGTCCCGCACCCGGTCTCGCACCCCTTCCCACAGGTCAGCAGAAGCATGCACAGCAGCACTCGAATTTACTTGGGCCGCTCCCCACCCCGCTCGACGCTGCTTGGGATCGCTGTCGACCAGCGCGTGACGGGAACCATCCCCTCCTCCTCCTCCTCCTCCTCCTCCTCCTCCTCCTGAGACATGGCCCCCCGTACCCTCACGACGCGGGTCTGGCTCGCCAGTGAACCAGCAGATCCGGCACGGGACGAGGAAGCCAGGCGCGGGGGCCAAACACCATAGCGTGGTCTTACAGTGGCCACTCGGGATGATCCTTCGCCCCCTCCAGGAGCGAGGAAGGAGGAGGACGACGAGGAGGAGGAGGAGGAGGAGGAGGAGGAAGGAGGAGGAAAAGGAGAGGAGGAGGAGGAAGAGGAGGAGGAGGAGGAGGAGGAGGAGGAGGAGGAGGAGCAGCAGAGCAGAGGCTTGCCATGCAGGGGGGGGGAGACTCCAGACGCTCTCGCAGTGCTGATCAACTACACCCTGCAAGGCCACGGCGTAGCGATTACGAACCTGGTCCGAGCTACGTGCGAGGAGGTGGTGGGAGCAGCATCAGGAGGAGGATGAACAGGACGAGGGGGCCGGAGGAGCTGAATGGGGCGGCGGAGGAGCCAGAGGAGGAGGGAGAGAGGGGGGAAGGAGGGAGGGGGAGGAGGAGGAGGAGGAGGAGGGAGGGGAGGGGGAGGAATGGGCGGAGGAGGCGGGGTATTCATTCTTCCACCACGGCGACACGCAACATCGTAAGACAGATTTATGCCTGAGGTGATCCAAACAGGAAGGGTACAGGGATGACAGCCACAGGGACGCCAGCACGTCTCCCGTCAACACTCTGAACGAACTGTGGGCCAACCGCAGGCCTGACCCGTTAGGCCAGCCACCCATGTTCAGGGGAATTTGCGGGGGTTTGTCGGTTTTACGGTCCCTACCCCCGAGAATGCTCCCTACGGCCCTAAGGCAACCTCGGAACCTTTCTCCAGGCGGCCACAGCACACATTCTTTAGGTTGGACCCAGACGCTGCGAGCAATACGCCTCGCAGTTGCAGCAAAACAAAAAACACCCCGTCCGCCCCATTCGTCGACCTAACGTCTCAAGGCCATCAGCACCCAGCCCCGTCAGGCTGCTCTCCGCAGAGGCACTGCCACGGCCCACGGGGCTCCCAGGCCCCGAACCAGCCAACGCGTAAGACGCAGAAGCCGCCACAAGCGCCGCACCGATCGGATCAGGACGAGCGACGGGGGTGGCTTCCCCGACGCGCCCCTCTTGAACGAAGGATTGCAAAAATTCTTCGAAGGTTTTTTGAAATCCTTGGTCGATGGTTTTTGTTGAAATCCTTCGAAGGTTTTTTGAAATCCTTGAACGAAGGTTGTTTGAAATCCTTGTTTTTTTGAAATCCTTCGACCAACATGCCAACATCTACTTGAGCACGAGCTGACTGAAACACCGATGGATTACATGTCCTACCTGAGCCCAAGGTCAGGTGCCTCTCGGCCGCCGCCTTTGACTGAGCACAGCTCTTACGGCAGACGGAGCGGCCTGGGCCCAGGCTCCCAAACTCATGCTTTTGAAATTCCAATAACTTGTTAGGAATGAGGGGTCTGAATGGGGGGAGGCATTTGTACTCAACAACGCGAGCAACTATCTGCGCATCCACGGCCGCCCGAGACGCCGCTAGCAGGGCGACCGCCAAAGAAAACAACAAACCCGATTCTTACAATCCTTAAAGGCGTCGGGGGACGTTTCAACATAGGCTCCAGCCACTTGATGATGACTTGCGCCGGGCCAAGTAGAACCATCGGCCTAACCGCTTCCCATCTGCACCCTGGAGGCTTATCGAGATGGGCCTCTGGAAGCTTGAAGCTCAAGGTGAGCAGGGACCCGCACGAATTCGGAAGGAGCCACCCTGGACCAACACGAGTTGAAGATCGGACGCCAGACCGAAGCGTAGGAGCCCACAGTGGCTTCAAGGGAAGGGCTCCATCCCCGTCCTTCCCGCACAGCCCCCAAGATATCCGAACCCAGGACCTGGAACCTAGGAATCTGCTGCGCGGCTCTGAGCAACGCAACTCGCCCGGCCATGCCGACCGTCTGTACTGGCCCTGGCAGTGGCACATGACACGCTCGAACAGGAATCTCGTCCCTTCCCAAATGAGCCACCGCCAATCTACCTCGTCGGATCTCGACCCAGGCACAGTGCAACCCAGGTCCGTCCGCGCAGGCCTCGCTAGGCCAGCGACTGGAGCATGATGTCTGATCGCCCCAGAAATATATCGGCACCGAGTTCGAAGGCCTGTCCAGCTTCAGGGGAACTCGAGGTAGTCCCAAACAGAAATCCTTGGCGTCCCATTTCTCGTGGCCGAAGGTGGCGATGGCCATCTCGCTCAGCCTATCACGGGTTCTGCTGAGCTCCTCGTCCCATTCTGGGAACGCCCCTTCGCCGTCTCGCCCTCCAGCAGAAATGGGCATGCAGACATCGCGTGTCCCAGCGTGCCGTGCACCTGACGAGCATTGCATTTTGGGCGTGGGCAGACAGACGCTTGCACCAGCTGCCTATCGAATAGATTGGCTATCGTCTGAAGCCGCCTGACCAAAGCATTCACAAAACGCCATCGCGCTGCGGGTCCTTCACAGCTGCATCATCGAGGCCTATCAGAAGAGGAAGCCCTCGTGTCCAGATCACATCGTTGCTTTCCACGTGCTTGCGGATGTGTCTCAGGATCTGTCGGCCCTCACAGTGACGGACTCCCTCAGAATTCAAAGTTCAGAGGTCACGAGGAGCTGTCTGAAACAGGGAGTAGGCTTGACCAGCATCACTGGTGAACGCCGTACCTTTCGTCATGCTCTACCCCAATCCTGAGAACTCTCAACTATCAAGCTGCCAATGGGCCGCAACCCCAGTCCACGTTAGACGCAGTGCCGACCACTTATCATCCAAGGCGTGCCAAGCTCGCATTAGCTCGCCCGCTCCCAGCCTATGGTCCCGCATGCAGCACGCGCGCATATGTGTGATGGTCAGCGTGGCCTCAGAGATCAGGTCAACCAACGTGTCCCGCTGCGTGCGTCGACATGTTGTCATGATCACGCCTCCCGGCTTGACCCCGCACGCCGCTGCAGCCGTCTGGCGCAGCCTCTGCAAGTCTGGGCTTGGAGCTCCAGCAACACTCGCACCAAGCGCCGCTTTGGGCGCCAAACCTGCTCTCCACAAAGCCTGCACCTTGAAGCCCGCATCTCGCTGCAG